AATCATTGAGAAAAAATTCGAACTAGTTTCTGCGGCTATTTGAACCACATTAAACAGTCTGGTGATGAAAAAACGATGTTTCCTTTTTCGGAAAAAAATGGTTATCCATACAATTTCCATATATAAAAATTGTATGACTAGCATTTTTTGATGGCGAGAACAAAATTTTTTCCAAGTAATATTGAAATTGCCCAAAAGGTTTTTCTTTTGTTTCAACCGAAAATCGAATTTTGTACTCAAACAATTTTTTCCAAAAAAAAATTTCGAAACAAATTTAAAATTTGTCTGCATAACGTAGTCCTGAATCCACAAAAATTGGATTTTTTTTCCGTTTCTCTGGTTAAATTTTTTCAAACACGCTATAAACTCCTATTTCTTTTGTATGATTTGTTTATATATGCCTTGATCAATATCTGATAGTTTGAAATTTCTAATTTTAAAAATAATTATCTTAGGAAGTTTTTAATTGCCAAAATTTAAAAGTTTGATGTTTTCAGTATATGATCTGTGAAAAAGAACTCTTACGGTCGTCTCCAATGCATTATAAATAGTGACTCTAGTTTTGAGTAAACCATGGTAAACCAGCCAATTGTGTTCGGTCACGACACATCCCAAAAATTGATTTTGAGAAATAAAATTTTTAAAAAATAATTTTTTTTTGTTTATGAAAAAATGCTTATCCTACAATTTACATATATGAAAAAAAAAAACGCTTATCTTAGAGTTTCCTAACATTTTCTGTATCTATGGAAGTGTACGAAAGTGTATGATAAGCATTTTTTCATATATGAAAATTGTATGATAAGCATTTTTGGTCAATCCGGGTTCACAAAATACCGCAATCTTTTTTAAAGCTCTTTTTAAAAAATTTTTAAAGCTCGTTTTGAATTTTTTTCTGCTAACTTCACAAAATATCGCAATCATTCTTTTTTAAAGCTCTTTTCGTTTTGAAGTTTTTTCTGCTAACTTCACAAAATACCGCAATCATTCTTTTTTAAAGCTCTTTTTGTCAAAATTATCTCAACAAGATAACGCCGTTAAATGATTCAGTTCCTGGCCCTGGAAAAAGGCGGCCAAATCATTTAAGAAATTGCAAGCATGAGATGTAATACATTCTAAAATAACGCTAAAATTGTCTTTTTATAATCATGATATAAGTTTAGTCGTAAAATTACGTTAAAACTATAGTGGTAGGTCAACATTTTATCAATTTTTGTTAACATAGTCTAAAAACAGACAAGTTTTTCTCGACACTGAGATGACTATTAAAAAAATTTATATTTTGTTTTATAGCTGGCATTCAGTCCAAGGCTGAGTCACCAGGTGTGGTGATATCAGGGGAGTCCAAGGCGATGAAGCTGTTGCGCCTGGCGTTCCTACTTCTTGTTCTTCTGATTCTCGGGTTCAATCAGTTCTTTATCTTTTCTATGTGGACCGACAGTGATTTGTAACAAACCACGCAGAACAAAAAACAAAACAACATAAAAAACTGACTAACAATGATGTTTAAAATTTTGAGCCTTTTTTTAGCCTGTTTTTTCTAAA